TCTCTCTCTCTCTCTCTCTCTCTCTCTCATTCTCTTCTCCAAAACCCATTAAGGCTCTAAAATAACAACTAGCGAAAAGAGCTCCAACAAGTAAACTTACATCAGGTTTTGTTTCAAAAGACACCTTTAACCTGAGGTTATTCTAATGAATAACCTAACCTTTAACTTAACCTAACCTAAGCTTAGGTTAGGTTATTCATGCGAATAACCTAACCACAACCTTGATTTCAATTAACCTACGTAGGTTTTCGTTAACTATCTAGGTTAGGTTGTTTCAAATAACCTAACTCATGTTTTTTAACCTAACCCGATCTATAGGGTGGGGGTCTCGGGGTAGGGTCTTGTTCGCGACGCGTTGTCTCAGCGTTCGCAACCGTCCGCAACCGTTCGCGGTAGAGCGCCAAGGCGCTGCCATTGGGAGAAGCTTTTGGAGAGGGTTTCGGATGGAAACGTGACTTGTCAGATTCGTGCGAATAGCGAGGAATCGTGTGGAAATGTAAGATGTTGAAGTGTGGAGAATGATTTGACTGCGCAGGCGCAGCGAGATCCGCAGTTTTCTGCACAGTTCCATTGGGATTAGCGTTTGGAGAGTGGTGTTTTTGGGGTGTTGGATGTGGGATTTGCGTTTCACAGTTTCTTCTGCCAGTGCAATTGTGTGATTTCGGTGGACGGGAGGGTGCACAGAACGGGTCGAAATCATTGCAAATGTGTGGTGTGATGCAAATTTTGTTGAAGCTCATTAAATGATATTATGATATTGTCAATTTTCGTGGCAGGCGCAGCACTTTATGCAGGCTTTGAGGTGTGGAAGTGCGATTTTCGTGGCAGGCGCAGGGAATCGTTAAGTTGCGAGGTGTGACGGCGGTAACATTTCGTGGCAGGCGCAGTACTTTGTGCGCGTTAGACGCGTGGACGCGGAAAGATTCGTGGCAGGCGCAGGGAATTGTGAGGTTGTGAGTTGTGGTAGAGGTGAATGTCGCTGTGACATTGGGATTGGCGTGTGAGCGGGTGTTGTTTGGAGGGGCTGTAATCGCGAAGCTGCTTGGCAGGGCTGCGTGATGTGTGTGCTATGATGGGTGTTCCGCTTGACTTTGGAGGAAGTCTTGTACGAAACGCTTGTTTTGGAGACTTGACGTGTGACTTTTTGAGGAAGTCTCGTACGAAACGCTCGTTTTGGAGACTTGACGTGTGACTTTTGGAGGAAGTCTCGTACGAAACGCTCGTATTGGAGACTTGACGCGTGACTTTTGGAGGAAGTCTCGAACGAAGCGCCCCTCTTGCAGCCTCGAAGCGTTTTGGAGGGAGTCTCGCACGAAACGCTGGCGTGACTTTTGGAGAACGTTTCACGCGAGACGCTTGTAGTGTATGGGCAGAACGTGTGGCCAGATTACGTTCGTGATGGTGCAGTGCGATTGGGAGTTGCGCGGCCTTGGAAGTGTGTTTGCGTGGCGCCGACAAATGTTTGCTTCTAGTGTGTGGGCAGACAGTGTGATTTGCGCGGCCTTGGTGGGAAGTGTGTTTGCGCGCGAAACACGCTGGTGTAAACGCAGCGTGTCGCTGGTGAGCGGGATGATATGTGGTATCGTGTGCGTGATGGGTTTGCTTCTGGTGTGTGGGCAGACCATGTGGTGACACGACGTTCGTGATGTCGCAGTGCCATTGGGATTTGCGCGGCCTTGGTGGAAAGTGCGTTTGCGCGGCGCCGTGCCACTGGGGAGCGCGAAACATGCTGGTGTAAACGCACCGTGTCGCAGGTGAGCGGGACGATATGTGGTATCATGTGATATGTTTGCTTCTAGTGTATGGGCAGACCGTGCGGCGACACGACGTTCGTTATGTCGCAGTGCCATTGGGATTTGCGCGGCCTTGGTGGAAAGCGCGAAACAGGCTGGTGTAAACGCGGCGTGTCGCTGGTGAGCGGGATGATTTGTGGTATCATGTGATACGTCTGCTTGTATATGGGCAGACCGTGTGGCAAAATTACGTTCGTGATGTCGCAGCGCCATTGGGATTTGCGCGGCCTTGGTGGGAAGTGTGTTTGCGTGGCGCCGTGCCACTGGGGAGCGCGAAAAATGCTGGTGTAAACGCGGCGTGTCGCTGGTGAGCGGGATGATTTGGGGTATCATGATACGTTTGCTTGTATATGGGCAGACCGTGTGGCAAAATTACGTTCGTGATGTTGCAGTGCGATTGGGAGTTGCGCGGCCTTGGTGGGAAGTGTGTTTGCGTGGCGCCGATATATGTTTGCTTCTAGTGTGTGGGTAGACCGTGTGGCGACGCGACGCGCGTGATGTCGCAGCGCCATTGGGATTTGCGCGGCCTTGGTGGAAAGCGCATTTGCGCGGCGCTGTGCCACTGGATGTTAAAAAAACACGGGGCCTAGGAGAAATGTAAGCAGTGGTCCCGTTTTAGCAAACCATGGCTGATTCATTGTAAAACGATAAAAAGTTAAACAACGATAACACTCATGTAATACATGCGATACAGTACATGAGAATAGAGGCATTGGATATTAAAATGCCTTCAGTTCTTGAAGCAAATAGCTGTCAAATCCATTTTTTGATTCAGGTGATTGTTTTACAAGAGTGCTTCATGTCAAGGTTTTCGTGTCATACAGGCATTCAGGAGTGATTTCTTTTTTGGCTCCTTGAGCATCAATGGGACATGGGTAGACATTTGCTCATCCATATGGGTAAGTACTTGCATGTACAAGCATGGATTCTAATTCAGTGGATGTTAGGCCGTCAAGAATGAGAATATGTTGTAGAAAGTGATTGAATCCGTTGGGCCACCCAAATGGGTGAAGCGTTGGGGGTTCCAAAACGATAGCTAAACGACAACAAAAACGATAACAAGAATATACGAAAAAGTCCTCGGGTAGACCATATCCCACATGTACAAATTTCAAAAATTTAAGACATGGCCTCAAGACTCTTCAAACATCACAAAAAGCCAGGAACTAAAGGAATTAATCATTAACTAGCTACTTTTTACACTTTTCCTCTCCCCCTGTCTCGGAGTTCACCCCTTCACCCTCATCCCGCCACGAAGGGGCGAGCGGGTCCTTGGCCCCTGTGTCTCCGGGGCGGTCCGAGACACCGCGACGAGACACCGGAATAGACACAGAGACAGGGGGAGAGGAAAACGTGTAAAAAGTAACTAGTCAATAATGTTTAATTCTTAGTTATTTTGTGTGGTCTAATTCCTTTAGTTCCTGGCTTTCCTTGATGTTTGGCGTCTGTTCGAAGGAAATGTTGAAAAATCATTTTTTTCATTGAAATCATTAAAATTTGTACGTGCCCGCGCACACACATAACAGACACCGACTTTTTTGCAGTGGAGGCAGGGACATGTGTGGTTAGCTGGGAAACGACAAGAGACTGTATACTGATCTCCAAACATTGAAAAACGATAAGGAGTTTAAAAAACGATAAGGCTATAACTGGTCATACAAAATGTATGGGTTTTTTAATGTATCAGGGGAGCGCGAAACAGGCTGGTGTAAACGCGGCGTGTCGCTGGTGAGCGGGATGATTGGTGGTATCAAGAGTGTCCCAAAAGAGTGCCCCGCAAGAGCTTCCTACAAGAGTGACCCAGAAGAGTGTCCTACAAGAGTGTCCCACAAGAGTGTCCTACAAGAGTGTCCCACAAGAGTGTCCCACAAGAGTGTCTCACAAGAGTCTCCCGCAAGAGTGTCCCAGTTAGAGTGTCCCACAAGAGTGTCCCACAAGAGTGTCCCACAAGAGTGTCCCACAAGAGTCTCCCACAAGAGTCTCCCACAAGAGTGTCCCACAAGAGTGTCCTACAAGAGTGTCTCACAAGAGTGTCCCACAAGAGTGTCCCAGATAGAGTGTCCCACAAGAGTGTCCCGCCAGAGTTTCCTACAAGAGTCACCCACAAGAGTTTCCTACACGAGTGACCCACAAGAGTGTCCTAAAAGAGTGCCCCGCCAGAGTTTCCTACAAGAGTGACCCACAAGAGTGTCCGACAACAGTGTTCCACAAGAGTGTCCTACAAGAGTGTCCCACAAGAGTGTCCTATAATATAAGGGTGTCCCACAAGAGTGTCCCAGAAGAGTGTCCCACAAGAGTGTCCCACAAGATTGTCCCGTAAGAGTGTCCCACAAGAGTTTCCCGCAAGAGTGACCCACAAGAGTGTCCCACAACAGTGTCCCACAAGAGTGTCCCATAAGAGTGACCCACAAGAGTGTCCCACAAGAGTGTCCTACAAGAGTGTCATTTGGACATATGTAGTTTTTGGAACGTGTTTGCATTCGGGTTCGTGGGTTCCATTTGATTTCCGTCTCTGCTGTTTGCTTATGTTTGTGTTTGTGTTCTGTCACCATATGACTTGAATGTCATATTATTGGTCCGCTGCACCATATTGAATGTGTTTTCTTAAGCCACGATCTCGCGTTGCTAAACAACAACCTGTGGAGAGTCTATGACGTGTAGGCTTTCATTTCTTCAGTACCCTTTCTTCGAGCGTTCTAGGAGCGGCGGTATGCACTCGCTGCGCTGCTGGTTCTTGGAACGACCGCCGTGGCTCTGGTGCCAAGACTGACTGTGTGGCTTGCCCTGCTGGTACTTGGAGCAGCCAGGACCGGACGGGGATTGCCAAAAACTGCTAAACAACATGTGAGCGTAAACGAGATAGGGCCTCCACATACACAAGATACTTTTTGCTTGATGACATTAAAGTAGTCTGAACGAGATACTGTGACATGACCTGCCGCCGCACAAGTAGCCTGGCCTAGCCGGGGCATGGCAATAACCTTGAATATTGTGCGGTTTCTTTCTATGTTTTCCTCAACCAATTGTGTGCATGACAAGTGCAGGAAGGTGCTCTGTCGCAAAATGCGTGTATGGAGTGCCCTTCCGGCCGCTTCAGCAATCGCACCGGGCTCAGCTCGCTGGTGCAATGTGACACCTGCCCGCCGGGCACATGGAGTGACGTCGCCGGCTCCACGAAGAACGTTTGTGTGACATGTGCTGCCGGGAAGTGGAGCCCACAGATTGCCGCCATCAGCGAGGCATGGACTATGGTGTTTGGACGCCCGATTTGCGGCAAACGGGCGTTCGATAAAACCTGATGAAAATGGATGAAATGCTTCAGCTCGTTTGGGCTAACAGTTATATAACCTTGTCATTTCGACATATAGCTTTCGTCATAGTTCTGGGAAAGCTCATGCGGAATTTGGAGACTTTCAGCTGTTTGTGAGGCCGTTTGTGTCTCGTGCCCCATGGGTCGCTTCAATGAGCAAGTTGGTTCATCAGAGCCAGCAGCGTGCCAGCTTTGCGCCGAGGGAACATGGAGCATGAAGACTGGCGCAGATACTGAGGAGGTTTGCGAGGCATGTCCTGCGGGCAAGTGGAGTCCAGCCAAGGGTGCCACTACACCATTGACCTGTGCAGATTGTTCCCCTGGCACTTGGAGCTCCACAAAGGGTGCCTCTTCTTTGCTTGCCTGCACTAAGTGTGGTGCTGGCAAGTACAGTGAAGAGATTGCAGCAACCAACGAGTCGACCTGCACACCTTGTGGAATCGGAACCTATCAGCCCATCCTTGCGGCCAGCAACCACACTCTTTGCATTCCTTGCGCTGTGCAGAGCTAATTGGATCCACTTTCTGTCAACTCATGCGTTTCCGGAGTGTGCTGTAGGAGTGCAGGACACATGAGGACACATAATCAGCGTTCTTTTGCATTGAGGTGGGGAACTATAGCAAGACGAAGGGAATGGCTGCTTGCCATCAGTGTCCATATGGTAACGTGGCTTCTATTCAAGCTGCAGTGCAGTCGATTGTTGGAGAACATGATGTTACGCCGTGTACTGATGTGGTTTCTGGTTCACGCGCCGAGCCAGTGGGGAAACACGTTCCAGGCACAAAAAACACATGCGCTGTGTCAAGCGTGTATTCGATACGTAGTTAAACAATGCACTGGCCCGTCTGATCCCTCCTAACCTTGGACACTCCTTTGGGTACCCTTCACTTGATTGGGCGGTACCTTGTAAAGAGGACACCGCTAGCTCTCAGAACCGTCGCAAGACATGGAAACGTGTGCTGTGAAAGTGTTTTTTTCCCCACCTGTCAGGTGAGGGTTGTTAGATTGTACGTCAGCCCCATCTCCTCCTCCGCCTTCTCCTCCTTCTCCTCCGCCGGACCTCAACCACGACCATCCACGCCCAGTGTTCCCCGCCGGACCTCAACCACGCCCATCCACGCTCAGTGTTCCCTGCCGGACCTCAACCACAGCACACAACCACAACACACAACAACAAACACCACAACCACAAACACACAACCACAAAAACACAACCACACAAACACAACCACAAACACACAACCACAAGCACAAAACCACAAACACAACAACAAGCACACAACCACAAACACATAACCACAAGCACACAACCACAAACACAACCGGAAACACACAATCAAGGCTGAGTGTGTTTGAGATGTTGGACCCCTGGGCTGCGAAATGCACAACAAGGTTGATGTCAACGTGGTTGTTTTGAAATGTCATGGTGTGGGTCACTCGAAGTAAAGCACTTTTTTACGGGCAGTGGTTCGAACTTTGTATAGTGTGCAACGGTAGAAATTGAAGTATGATCACCAGAGGGCTTTTGATGGTTTTTGCATTGACCCCCCAAACAAAGACGAGTGGGGTTCGATGCTCGGAATGGTGTCGAACCGAGCAGCGCGCCAATCACAAGGAAATTTCAATGAAGAATCCTACTAGCAATGGCCTCTAACCTGCTAGTGATGGCCTCTAGCGGTGGCCTCAACCTGCTAGCGATGGCCTCCGAAACCTACTAGGAATGGATGGCCCCCAACCTATGCAAGCACTTGTTTGTTGAGTTAAAGTTGTGCCTGGTGGAACGTGTTCTTGGGGCAACTCTACCGGTTTACCTGAGGCATCTCGCTGTGCTATGATGGCAGAGGGTAACTACTTGGTTGTTAGGGTATGAAAGACGCGTTCAAGGGTATTTATGTACAGTATCTATGTGTATAGTTGCGCACTCCTGCACAAAGCGTACTTTTGTGTGCGTGTACGTGCTATGATACTAGTGGATCCTAGTAGATACATGTGCAGTATTTTAGTTTGTTGCGTTGTTCTTGCTTGGGGTCCTACCAAGCGAATGAGGCAGTTATGGTGACGCCTTTGGCCTCACCGAATGCCACAAGTGCCCCAAGGGCACTTGGACACGAGCCATGGGTTCTATTCGCGCAGACCAGTGCTCCAGTTGGGTGAAACCACAAAAGGAGAGATGCTCTAAGGCTTAGAGAATTGTCATAGAGAGGATCAAAAAGGCACCCACAAAGACCATCATGAGGATTTGTTTGCATTTTTCTCGGAAGTTGTCAGGACAGCGAGCATTGAGGTTGAAACATCGTTAGGCTGGACAGAAATCTCAATGTACACTGCCGCACTTGTAGTGAAAGGGTTCAGTGCTGTTCATGGCAATCGATTCAGCTACCTGGGCTGTTCAGCTGTGACAGGATGGCTCCACATCTGAGCCCCCACTTTTTTTGGTTCACTGGAGTCAATAGGCGTCACCATCGCATAGTACTTGTAGAGATTTTGAAGACCTCAGCAGCTGCGCTTGGTCAGACATCAGATGGCCAAAAGTGACAACTACAATTTGTTGGTGTTGAAAGTCACCTCATCCCTGTGGACCCCGTAGCGTGTACTCTCAAGGTAGAGCAAAAGGGACGCTTAACGGCTAGTCAGGGTTAGCTAGGGAAGTAGAGCTGATCCTGTAAAATACAGGTTATCAGCCGTAGGCTAACTAGATTAGAGCTATGGACCCGATGGATGACGACGTCGCACCGAACTCGTACGGAAGTGGCTTTGACATTGTTCCGAGTATACCCAATAGTTTGGACGCAGTTCAACGACATGAACATGCAGTCGCACAAGTGGCGGCAATGGATCCAAGGGTAGCTTCGGAGGTATACCAAGAGATGCTAAACAGTGGTGGTAGTGTTACTCTACAAGAGGCGACGCAAGCTACCCTAGCAGGTATGCCGTCAGCCGCCGTAGCTGGTGCGCCAACAGTAAACAACTTGTTGGCAATGACCAGGTTCAACGTCGTCAACCTGAACGCTACATCAGGTGATGAGGAACTACGACGGGAACTACAGCAACATGAGTTGTTGCTCAACGAGCAAGCTAGGCGTGAAGCTGAATTCGAAGCGCTACGTTTCAGGCACATCTACGAGAGGGAAGCTTCTGAATCGATAGCAGCAACAAAAGCCGCAGCAGAGCAAGCAATGCTGAATTTGCAACAGAGAGCTCAACAACAGGAACATAATGTTCAACAGTTGGCTCAGCATCACGACAACGTTGCGATCAAAAGGTTGCAAGGCACGTTGGAGGAGCAACGAGAGCATTTTCAGCAGAGATTAGCTCAGGCTACGTCTGCTCATGAGAAGGTTTTACAGGAAAAGAATGCCTTGGCAGAGGAAGGCAATGCTTTTGTCGAAAGGATGAGAACTGAACACCGGCAGTACACAGAGCAGCAAGAAGCAAGGCTAAAGGCAGCTTTAGAGGCAACAGACAAAGCTCGAGCCACATCAGCTGAAGAAGCCCGTGTTGCTATAGATCTTGACTTCAAGCGTGAGGAACTGTCCAGTTCGTTGGCAATTGCACAAGCAAAGATCAAAACACTCCTTGGTGAAATGGAGTCGACTAAGTCACAACATGCGGTTGACCGGGAAACCCAAGAGCAAACAATCATTGAACTCCGCAAGGACAATGCTTTGTTGAAGGGTGAGATGGATGAACTTAGACGTGTTGTACAGGCCTTGTCGGACAAGGAAGAGGAGCGCAAGGAAGTCGAGCGCAAGGCTCAAGCCGCTAGCCCAGCTAAACCAGGGCCGCTGCAACCAGAGCAACCTCCACCCCCTGTTCAACCAAATGTTCATCCCGTCGGTCAACCTCGTTCATTTGAACCTCTTCGTACGGAAGGCGCAGTTCCTGCAACCCTAGAAGGTTCGCCCTCAGACCCAGCTGGAATTCCTCTGAAGACAGCTATGGATGCTTCAGCAACAAGTCGCAACACAGGATTTCCTTCAATGTTCTCTGGGACAGGGGCGCAAGCAGCTGAACAGGCCACCGCCTCTACCGATAGGCAACAGTTCAAACAACCTGATCCGTGGATGGATTACAGGATGAAGTCGGCACAGTACAACTTCAGCGACGACCCACTGTACAAAAGCTCCTTTAACCAGGACGCAACACAGAAGAAGGATGATCGCAAGGACGAAGGGCCGGCATCTCAGGTAAGAACTCCACAAGATCAAGATTTAGGGGAAATCATCAAGAAAGCGTTGCTAGAGGGGTTTAAGGGCGCAAAGAGCAAAGATTCCAACAAACCCAAGGCAAAAGAGGCTGATAAGATAGATCTCCCTGAATTCCCAAGTCCTGACAGGTACCGCACTTGGAGGGCTGCTGTTCGCGAAGCGATACGGTCCGCGTCCGACGACCCAGATGCTGCGTTTGCATGGGTGCTTGAGGTGTACGCCGTTCGGGAGGACAAAGCAAAGCTTTGTTCCGAACTCGCTGACCCAGGCAAGTTTCGGACCTTAGACCCGAAACTCCTTGCTGCTTTGACTAAGGTTGCCAAAGGTGAACTGTCTCAGCAAATCCTTAATTATAAGGAATCTGAGGCACAGCAGGGTAGGATCGTTCGCGGTCGTCAGGTTTTGCTCATGTTTGAAGTCCACTTCAAGACCAGTGAAGAAGCGGGTGCACTGTATGGTACGGAAGACCTCCTGAAAATCTCGCTTGACAGCGATGACTTGAAATCCTTTCTAAGGAAATGGGAAAGCGTGTTGACCGGAATGAGTCATGTTCCTGACCCGGCAACCCTCAAAGACTTGTTCTATAGAGAGGTCAGGAAGTCCCGTAAACTCAGATTTGACCTTGATGTTTATGAACGGGCAGCGGAAGGAAGTAGTGACAGAAGTTATGAATTCCTCATTAATTCTGTTCGACAGTACCTTGATCGCGAAAGGCTAAGGACCAATCGTGAGAAGACCTCACAATCGCATGCTGCAAAGTATGCAAATCCGGCGCCACATGACAAGCGTACGCGAAGCCCAAGTTATGGCAAGAGGAGCACAAAGGGTGACGGAAGCGACCAATGCTATGAGTTCGCCAAGACCGGCAAGTGTAAGTACGGAAGCAAATGCAAGTACTCTCACGACTCTAGCGCGCGTCCCCGCTCCCTTAGCCGGGAGTCGTCACGATCGCGTAGCGGCGTAGCGCAAGTTCAAGTGGTCGATCCTCTTTCAGGTCAAGCCGTTCAAGAAGCTCGTCAAGACCATCCTCCCGCAATAGTTCAAGGAACTCATCAAGAAGCTCAAGTAGAGGCAGAAAATCTGAGAAGCCATGCAGGTTCTTTGCCAAGGGCAACTGCAAAAGGGGTGAGAAATGTCCTTTCAAACACGGTGAAACGGCTACACCGGCCCCACGCAGAAGAAGTCCCTCTCCCGCAGCTAAGAGGTCTAAAGACAAGAAATCCAAGAAGGACAAAAAGGACAAGAAGAGCAAAAGGGAAAAGAAAGAGAAAAGTCCGAAGGCCAGTCCGTGTATTCAAACAGTTTTCGCATTGTCTTGCTTAGCAGCAACCGCTACTCGGACCCACAAGAGTAAAGACTACTGGGAATTCTCCAAAGATGGCACCGAGTTGATTAGGCACCATTTAAAGCCTCGGAACAGAGGTACACACCTTTCCTGTTTGGAAGGAAATGTACCGGCGTGTAGTGAATGAATAAGAGCAAAAAGCGGAACCTGTTCCGGACCACTGAGGAATGTCCAAAGTCCCGCTAGTGTGACACTAAGGACGCCATTTTGGCAGCGGAGTCACTTAGGCAGATGCTCGATTCGATGGATACCGAGGAGCCTGCGTGTGACTTCCTTTGTGAACATTCCCCAGAAGGCCCCGATGATTTGTGCTGCACAAAGTGTAGGACGGTCACCGGTGAACAGGTACCTTCATGTGCTCGCCTAACAGCGACGCCTAGCACAGTTGGAATGGAGAAGTGGCTGGGCGATACCGGAACTGACCAGGACATCGTGGGCAAGGACTCAAAGACGGTCAGCCGGGCCACTAAGATCTTCAAGTCCAATGAGCCAATATCCCTCACTACTGCCAACGGACCAATCACTGCCGAAGATGTAGTTGAGGTGATTCTCCCGGGGCTATGTGAATCCTTTAATCCCTACATTCTTCAAAGCACTCCCTCTGCACTCTCGATCGGTTTGAGGTGCCTAGAACAGGGATATGATTTTGTTTGGGGAAAGGACACTACCCCCATATTTCTTCGACCTGATGGAAAATGTGTGAAATTCAAATTGCAGGGCAGGGTTCCATACATTGATGAGACGTGCACCCCATTTTCAATCCCCGAGTCACTCAGGACACGACTTACTAAGGTACTCGACTCCATCCACCAGTTCACCATCGACCAGGGCTTTGCTATGGCCAGCCACGGGTCCGAACCCGAGAATGAACAAGAAGATGAAGATGAGGCTGGCGTAGCTGCCAATGCCGATGAGGAACAGGGAGATGACGAGGAGAGCGACCCGGAGGTTGAAGTCCCTTTCGATTTTGAAGATGTTCCCGTAGCAGGGGAGAAGACCGAAGAACAACTTCGCAAAGAAGCAAAATCAGGGGCGCACCAGTTCACACACCGACCAAAGAACCCCTACTGCGATATTTGTAGCGAAGCGAAGATGCTTGCACCCTACGGTAGAAGCGTAGGCGGATCACAACATGTATTGGCCCGCGGTTTTGGAGATCACATTGTTTGCAATGTCATCCCCAAAGATATTGAAGAGGGGATAGAAGGCCAAACCTCGATGTTGGTGATCAAAGATGTGTACACTCAGTACCGCTGTGTTTATCCTTCAGAGAACAAAACGGCCGATTCCATAGTGAGAGCCTTCAAGCATTTTCTGAAGACTTCTGACATTGTTGGCATAGTATACACTGACAACGCTCCAGAAACGCTGGACGCCATCGAAGAGCTCGGTTTTAAGCACCAAACTTCCGTTGAATACCAACACTCTACTAAGGCGGTTGTCGAGCGCGAGGTCCGCACCATTTTGGAAGGGGCGCGCTCCAATCTCCTTCAGGCTAACATGCCTTTGTCATTGTGGCCTTATGCCTCCAAGCATCATGCGATGGCCATCAACATTGTCAAACAATTGAATGGTAATGATTCCCCCATGGACGCTTCGTTTTGACAATGGATTTCTTGGTAGGCAACTTCCTTTTGGATGTCTCCTATTCTTTTGGGAAGGAAAGTACGAGCCAAAGAGAGGAAAGTTTGCTCCCAATGCCAAGAGGGGTGTGTTCTTAGGATACAACATCCAGGCCGGACATGTTTGGAGGGGGGGAGTATTTGGTTGCGAATGTTGATAGTTTGGAATACTTCTTAAAAGAAGGACACCTCAAAACCATTAGAACTAAACGAGTAGCTCTTCCCGATGGAGATTTTATCTTTCCCCTTCACTTCAAGGAAAAGCCGATACTTGACCTCCAAGATCTGGACTATCAGCCTGAGGGAGACGATGATGATGATGATGACGCTCCTCAAGACGATGATCCTCCAGATCCGCGATCAGGGGCGCCGGAACATGAAGAAGACGTTCCTGAAGCTGCAGTAGAGGAACCAGCCAGCGTAGAAGCTGAGCCGCCAGAAAA